GGAACTTTAAAGTCTTTTTATAAACAGAAGAATTAATACAAGCATTTTATTACTATGTTCATTTTATTTTTTTTTTTTTTTTTTTTTTTTTTTTGTCTTTTTCCGTGTCCGGCAACGGATCGCAACCCTCAGTGTTGCCCCCGTACCGGACCGGGGACCGGCAACGGGATTGCAACCCTCGGTGCTGCTCCCGCGCCTCACTCAGCCAGTGAGCGGGAACCGGTCTGTATGTGGGATCCAAACCCTCGGGCCAGTGCGCCACCGTGCGGGCCCCTACTATGTTCATTTATGAGTACAGAAAATATATAGTCTAGATTGAATAAGATGATTATGCCAAACAGAATAATGTGTTCCCCAAAAGAAAACAATTAATACTAATATTAAAATAAAATGTGCTCATAAATGTAAATATTTCCATTTTCTTTTCTCTTGACTTTCAGATATTGAAATGCCGACTGCAGAAAATCTTCTCAATACCTGTAAGTTCAACAAGAGTTAATTTCTTGTGAAAATTAATTCCTTGGATTTCAAAAAAGACCTCCACTTGAGAGTCAATGTCATATCCATAAAGGTGTAACAGGAAGCCTGCTTTTAGAAACATGTAAGATGATCACTGTAGTTCACCTTAAATTGACTGATATAATGGATTTAAAATAAGAAACATATTAACACATGCCATATGGCAGAGGGGATCTAAAAACAAGCAGTGATAATTAAGGTCTGAGAATCTATAATTAGCTACACATGAGTTTTGAGTCCTATATCTACCACTTACTAATTGGATGAATTTATACAGATTCTTTAACTTCTCAACCTCTCCATTCCAAATTGTTGTGAAGATAAAATTAGGTAGCACAAGAAAGATACTTACAAGAGTATACAGCCCATAATAAGCATTCAGTAAATGTCAGCTATTTGTGTTTTTCTAGTTTGCCTTTGAGCATTCCTGACCTAGGAACTCACTGTGGAATTCTGATCCTACAAGCCAACTTTAGTGTGCAGAGAAGTAAGTTGCCTTGCATGTGAGCAGCTTCTTCCTTGCTAGTCAAGGCATTCTGCTTCCATTCTCTTACTACCAGCCCTGGGAAATATCCCCAGCATTGCTGGAACTGGAACAGTCTGTCAGGAGAAGCACTGTTTTTTTCTGGCGACTAAAACTGACTGGGACAGCTGGATTAGAAGAATCACCCTCCAGAGCCAGGTGACACTGACCCTGACTGCTCTTACTATCCTTCAGTCACAACATAGTTATTTCTGAGAAACCTGGACAAAACTTCAATACAAACCTGTATTAGATTATTTTTCTTTCTCATAGATTTTGACTGAACAATCCTCAAGCAACTTAATATGAAATTTTAAAGTCAATTATTCCAATGAAAAACTTTAGTAACGATATGATCAAAATCCACAATGGAGAATTTCTCAGGTTTGTAGAACAGAGATAGTCAAGACAGAAGTAAAAGCAGTGGTGAAAAAGAGATCAGCCAATTTTTCTACCCCTAAGCTGGGACACTAAACAACAATCCATATCAGCATTCTGAATTTGACTTGGCCTATCCAGGATTTTGATCATACTTTAAATTAAAAAATGGGAGTGGTAGGCAAAAAGAATCAAACAGGGTTAGAGAAAAAATAGAGCTTTGGTATGTGACATAATGTGTATAAAAATGCAATAATAGTTGATGGAGTAGAAATTTAAAGTGTAGGGAGGAAACAAGAGCTCAGTAGATTTGCTGATGCTTCTGAAAGCATAAGCCAGCAATCTTCATTATAATCCTTAAATTTTTGAAATTTATCACATGATCTCTTTTGACATAGCAAAGCTACAAGGTGCCATGTAAGATTTCAGCATAGTTAATACAGGGTAATACTGCTGAGGTGGAGGCCAAAAGCTCAACAGGTACAGTGATCATGAGTAAACGAGAGTTTAGAATGGAAGTTGGTGTATGATATAAATTAGGTTAGAATTCTGAGTAAGAGCAGAAACAGGGAAGTAGAGTCGCCTAAAGGAGAATCTCCTAGGCCACAGAGAAGCATCTTTGTTTTTATATTCCTCTGAAGGAATTTGAGTAAAAGCCAACTTCCTTTAGGAGTTGTCCAAACAGAAGGGAGGATAGGGAGGAACAATTATACCTCTGGATTTTGGGTTATTTATTTTATCCTCCATAGTATATCCACAATAGGGAGTAGAAAGAAAGAAGAAAAGAAAAGGTAGTTACATTTAATGAATCAGTCTGGGAGCTCTCTCATTCAGAAATAGCAACCACAAAAGACTCTAGTTCAGCTAAGTGACTTTAATAAAGAGGATGCCTTAACAACCTGAGGTTTGCATTGCAATAAGGAAATAACCTAGAATTAGAAGCAATATACAAACTTAAGAACTTAGAGGACGAGTGCAGGCCTTTAAAAATGTCTACATGACTCTCCCCTGTGCTTCTAATGCCTTTTCACCTTCAGGGAAGAGTATCTCAAAGTACATCTAGTCACATATACTTATCATCTCTCTGAAGCTATTGACCATTTAAACTTTCCAACACTAAAATATTCTCATTCTTGGTACAAGTACCTTTCTCTAATCCAAGGTTTCTCAACCTTAATACTATTGACATTTGGGGGCAGATAATTCTTTGTTTCAGGGGCTGTCCTGTGTATTTCAGGATATGTAGCAGCATCCCTGGCTCTAATCTAATCCCCCCACTGCTCTAATCTATGCCTCCTGCATTGATTATGGAAAGTTTTTTCCACTCTCCAAATGCTTTGGAACATGCCCTTTACAGAAAAGGGCTTTGCAATCAGGTATTATTTTTTATTTCAAGATTTCTTATGGATTATACTACATAGACTTCATTTCCACAAACATTTATGGAGCTCCTTTTATGTGATAAATTCTCTGTGGTAGGCTCTGGAGACACATTTTTTTTTTTAATGTCATGGTTCCTGCCCTCTAGAAATACTTTCTAATGAAATGACAATCTCTAGTGAAAGATACTATAAACTGTTAAGGAACAAGCTTAGTCCTTTAGTTGGAGTGAAGTTAAGATGGCCAAGGAAATCAAAAAAGAAGAAGAATCAGACAGACAGAATAATAGTGAAGTTGTACTATTACTGCAGATTTGCTATAATGATTAAAGAATCTAGCAGTTTCTCTGGGTCTAAATAGAAACTAAAACACAGTTCTGATTCAGAGAAGCATGTAACTTTGGAATTCAGTTGGCTATTTTCATGGGTTATTCCTTTTATCCAGATAATTTGTATTGTGACTTGAATGGGAACACATTTCTTTCTACTCTGATTCATTTGTATCTTATTCACGTTCATGTCCATTTACACTCTCTTATCAATGTTTTTATAGCACTCATCTCTCTAAAACTGCTTGTTAAAATTAAAAAACACATATTCCTCTCTGCCAGTTGGTAACTTATACTATTATTGTCTTCTAAATTCAAACATTTAATTCCACCTATCATTTATATTAGGTCATAGCAAAGCTATACAGACACATAGAATGTATGTGAGTGATGGGGATAGAGGAGAAAGATGTCAATCTATTTTGAATGAATTATCAGGATATCTCATGTCAGCAAATCCGTCCTAACTTCTTCAAGACCATGAGTTTTTCCTCAGTTAATAGTTAATAGAGACATGTATTACAGGGAGTTTGTTTGCTATAGCAATGCACATGCACAAGCAATATCAATGCTAACAAACTTTATTTTGAGCAGGTTGTGGACGTCGCACAGTAACTCCCTCTGGCAACAAAGTAGCTGGGGGCCTGAATGCCGAAGAAGGGGAATGGCCCTGGCAAGCTAGCCTTCAACAAAACAGTGTCCATCGATGTGGAGCCACTCTGATTAGTAACAGCTGGCTTGTCACTGCTGCTCACTGTTTCATAATGTAAGCTCTGGACCACATGATGGCCTCAAATCCACTCGAAAACAAAAGTCTGATAATATCTTTCAACAATATGGCCGTACAACTATGCCTCCAACTGTCTAATATTGTGAGGCGTAGCCTCAAAATTACTCAATGAATTATCAGAAAATAACAGATATAGTCAGGCTAGAGAAGGGTGTGTCAAGAGTGGCACAGATAACATTTTGGCAATAATTAATTCTTTGTTATGGAAAACTATCCTGTGCATTGTAGGATATTCAGCAGCGTCCCTGGCCTCTACTCACCATAAGTATCCCTCAGTATTGATAACCAAAGTGTCTCTAGACATTGCCAAATGTGACAAACACTGAGCTAGAGTTATTTCCTTCAATTTTATAAAGAAACTATAAATCTTTAAAGATTCAATAAAGATTTTATAAAGAAATAATGATTTCTTTAAATAATATATTACTGCACCAAAAGTCTGCCTATTTTTACCTTAAAAACTTTTATGCTTTTGTTTAATGGTTCCTTTCATTAATTTCCGTTTGTTTTATGTAGCACCTATTGGTGTTTTTTTAAACAAAAATTTCTCCTTGATTGGCTCTTTTCAAAATCATGCTTGCGGGCTGAACCAGTGGCGCACTCGGGAGAGTGCGGGGCTGGGAGCGCAGCAGCGCTCCCGCCACGGGGTCGGATCCTATATGGGGATGGCCGTCACCGCTCACTGGCTGAGCGCGGTGCGGCGGTCTCAAAAAAAGACAAAAAAAAAAATCATGCTTGCTCATTATGTTGATTTGGTAAAGAGTTTGAAAATGCTCCAGTAGCACAATTTCCAGTAATTAAGATACAAATTCATGATTAACAACTAATAAAAGTCAGAAATATTTTCTTACAGTTTTTAATGGTCAAAAACAAGGATTTAGACTATTTTCTTTTTTTTTTTTTTCCTTTTTGTCTTTTTTTTTACTGACCGGTAACGGGATCGCAACCCTCGGTGTCGCGCCCGCACCAAGCTCAGCCAGTGAGCGGGAACTGGTCTCCACATGGGATCCAAACCCTTGGCGGGAGCGCCACCACACTCCCAAGTGGCGCACTCTCCAGTGCGCCACCGGGCCGGCCCTAGACTATTTTCTTAATTACTGTAAGTTTACTATGTCCCATATCATATCCTTGCCAATTTTTTATTTAATCTTATTATCTTATGTTGTCATATTTATTTTTCTAAATCTCCTTGAGTCTTTTCTATACAAAATAAGAAAGAAAATGTAGTTTTAAAGGATTATCTTTTAAAACACAGTTTATTGAATTATTTAAAACCTGTTCATGTTGTCATTATTTTTACTCTTATATACAGCTTTATTTTTGTATGCCTATAAATACTATGGGATCCCTAAACATACCTAATTGTTTAAAGAAGTGTAAGAGATTAATTTCTATAACTCCAATATACAAAACTTTTAATAAATAAATCTATTTTCTTTAGGGCCACTGATCCCAAAGAATGGAATGTTAGTTTTGGGCTTCTTTTAAGTGATCCACAGTCACAGCGAAGTATCAAGGATATTATAATTCATGAAAAATACCATTACCCCGCACACGATAATGACATTGCTGTTGTGCATCTGTCATCACCAGTATTATACACAGGCAACATCCGAAGAGCATGTCTTCCAGAAGCTACTTATACATTCCCACCTAATTCAGAAGTGGTGGTCACTGGATGGGGAACATTAAAGTCTAATGGTGAGTTCCTAATTTCCCTCCATTACATGGTTTGAGTTTTAGGAGTTAAAAGGAAAAATACTCAGAATTACAACTAAACCAGAGAAATATTTTCTCTGGACCATTAAAAAGGATAATGTGCAATGGATGAAAAATTACCCTCAACAACATTCATACAGAAATTAATTTCATAGAGCTGTTTACCAGAATTCCCCTTAAAATGCCATTTTTGAAGAAATGTACTATTTGAATAATTATTTTCCTCCATTTTATTCATTAATTCATTCAGTAAACATGTATTTTGATAACCACCTTTGTTCCAGGTACTATTCTAGGAGGTTTAGATACATTAATGAATCAAATAGGCAAATATTCCTGCCTATATTCTTAGCAAAAAAGGGAAAAAGGAAAAAAAAACTCTCATTCTTAGCAAAGGAAAATACACAATAATCACAAAACACAAGGAATAAGTAAATTATATAGTATGTTTTATACAGATAAGTACCATAGGAAAAAATAGGGACTAAAGGGGAATAAGCATTTTTGATGAGGTGAAATGAGTAGCCCTCAGTGACGAGATACTTTAGCAAAGACCATTTAAATATATGCATCCCCATGACCCTAATAATGTAAAGATTTAGTGGCTATTTATGTTCATAAATGTATTTCAAAAGCAGAAAAATAACCTCAACTTAATTTCAAGATTCAGAATTACAGTAACAAGCTTAGCTGAAAATCTAAAAATGATCATTAAATACATGTTTCTGGAATATGAGTTTTTATATTGCTTTCTAAGGCAAAAATGTAATAAATATAAAATTCCAAAACAATTCAAAAGGAAAAAATCCCACCAGATATGGAGACACTAAGTATTTCCAAGGGTGAACACTTTTAGCAAGAGCTTGGTGTGTTCATAAACATTACGTGCTTCTTTGTTACTAAGAAAGGAGACAAACGCTTAATTAAAACATATGTCTTACATTTGTTTGGAAATTATACATAGTATCAAAGTTAGAAACTAATAATTCAAGCCAGAGAGATTAATATTGGCTTTAGCAATAATTATATAAATTTCTTCCTTTAGGAAAAAGTCCTAATATACTCCAAAAGGGGTCAGTGAAGATTATAGATGATAAGACCTGTAACAGTGGAGATGTATACGGTGGAGTCATCACACCTGGAATGCTGTGTGCCGGGTTCCTAAAGGGACGTGTGGATGCCTGCCAGGTAAATATGCCTATTCCATGTTCAAAATTTTTTTCTTGTAGTTTTAAATTCCCACTTAACCAGTTCGATGTTCTCAAAGGATTAACTATTTTTAAACGCTTAAGCATGTTTTATAGCCAAAGTATGTAATTAAATACTTATATTTAATTATAATTTAAAAATTATATTGATATCTAATAGGTTTCATTAAAGTACTAAAGTGCTAAATCACCCTTACTGTTTTCAGATGCTGTGAGTGGGAGTGGGGAAGAGAATTGATTTAGAATAAGCAGTGAAGAGATGAAATGGATTATTAGTGCCTTTAGTTTGATTTGCCTTTCACTTTGAAACACTCAGCTGGGTCTAACACCAAATCTAATGAACATGAAGCTTTTATAACCTGGCTTCAACATCCTAAATATTTCATTTGTATAACAACCCTTATACAGCATTCTTCACACCAGGCACTGTTTTAAGCTCTTTACAAACATTAATTTAGTCTAGCCATGACAATTCTCTGCAGCATGTTAGTACTATGGTAAACCCTATTTCTCAGATGAGGAGACTGAAACAAAGAGATCGAGTACCTTGTCTAAACTCACATGACTATTAAGTGGGAAAGCTGAAATTTAAATGCAGGAAATTGAGCTCTGGTGCCTACATTCCGAACTTTATACTAGGCTGCCTTTCCCAATGCTTAATGTGCTTCTAATGCCCCTGTTGCTGTTTATAAGCAATAGTCTTAGAGATAACAAAAGTACTACTGTCGTTATCTAGGCAAGCAGAATTGGTGAGAAGTCCAGAAAGACCCTTATTTTATTCATTTTTTAAAAATATAACTATTTATTGACTTCTAACTATGTTCAGACCCCATACTAGATGCAGGGAAGTTAAAATGAATAGAGCTTATTTCTGCATTCTAGGAGCGAGAAGACGTGCAAACAAATATTTGCAATACATAATTATCATCTTTAATTGCAGATTTCTGTCTTTTTTTTTTAAACAGTGATTCACACATTTTATTTTTTTTTTCGTTAAATTTTTATTTTGTCAATATACAATGTATATGATTATTATGGCCCATCACCGACACCTCCCTCCCAATGGTGCCACCCATCTCTTCTCCAGCATTTTTACCAAGAGACCATGAACAATAAACACCAACTTCCTATGGTACAGCCCCTTTCCTATGATCTCTCTTCAGTGCATCTTTCCTAAAATTGTTTTGATACAGATTTCCTCATGGTATCCCTGACTCATCAAGAGTCAGGAAGCACTGTACTGAAGAAGGTTTGGCAGCAAATGCCTTCCAAAACCAGCTCCATTCTGAACATTGCTCAATTTAGCTTGCCAATGATCTCAAGTAATCTAACCCAAAACTAATTATCCAGTTAGCCTGTAACATTATTAAGCTATTACAAGCAAATCATTTTTCTCTAACATAATAATCCAAGCATGATGTCCGATTGATGGTATCAACCTCCATATACAAACTCTTTTCAGATTTAGCTTGCATTGGTGAATAAAAACCGCGCCTTCCAAAATCAGTTCTAGAAAAAGCCTGTGACTTGTAAAGTATTACTAGAACTGGAGTTGGGGCAGGGGCTGGGAATAGTGTTTCTTAGATCTAAAGACAAGAGACATCATTGTGTCTTCTGACTGAGATCTTCTCTGGTGTATTTGACTCCACCTGTAATTCATCTCCGTAATAACTTCGTATAGCATACATTATACGAAGTTATACGATTCCTTTGGGTATATTCCCAGTAGTGGGATAGCTGGATCGTATGGTAGATCTATCTTCCGCTGTTTGAGGAACCTCCAAACCATTTTCCATAGGGGTTGCACCATTTTGCATTCCCACCAACAATGTATGAGAGTTCCTTTTTCTCCGCAACCACGCCAGCATTTATCTTTCAGCATCTTTTGGATTTTGATTTCTGTCTTTTTAACTGTCCCACTTAATCAATTCTTCAGTGTCATGAAGAACTTAAATACCTGTTTCCCTTCATTTTCTTTCAGTCCACCATCTCCAGCCTTGTGACTCTCTCCTAACCTTATGCAGGCTAGGACCCACATTTTATTATTTCAAACACTCTATTGATGGCACCCTCAATGACTTCATCTTCTACTTCCCCCATACCCATTGTATTAGTCCGTTTTTGTGTTGCTGTAATAGAATATCTGGGACTGGGTAATTTATAAAGAACAGAGGTTTATTTGGTTCACGATTCTGGAACAGCTGCATCTGGTGTGGGCATCAGGCTGCTTCTACTCATGGCCAAAAGTGGCAGCCAGAGGAGGGTACAAGCAGATCACATGGTGGGAGGAAGCAAGAGAGAGAGGAGGTGCCAGGGCCTTTTAAACAACCAGCTCTTGCAGGAACTAAGAGCAAGAGCTCACTCATTACTACCCCCGCCTAGGGAGAGCAGTAATCAATTCATGAGGGATCCGCCCCTGTGACTCAGACTGTCACACTGGAGATCAGATTTCCATGAGTTCTGGGAGGACAGTACATCCAAAGTCCATTACTCATCCTAATAATCTTCAACCAGTAGCAATCTATCAGTTTTATTTGCTCTTATATGTGAGCTACTGAACACAGCTAGAGGAAATCTTGCTTTCTTATAAAGTCATATAATCACAAGTGGGTCCTTACCACACTGCACAGTTCTTTAAGGAATCTTCTATGGAGATATGTCAAACCTTCATTATATTCTATACCTACCTATCCCTCTGTGCCCTTATCTTTTTTAGGATATGACTCCTACAACTAACTATAAAAGATGAAAGAAATCATATGAGAACTCCTTTAATCTCCTTTCTCCAAATTTATATTTGCACTCATCCTCACTCTCTAGTCTCAGGATAAAATTTCTTCTACTATTCAAAGTTAATCTCTTGCCTGTGTTCATCACCCAACCTCCTTCAATCTATGCAAGTATTTTAATGTTCCATTAATGTGAGATTTCTTCTGTATTTTCCAAACTGTACCCCTGTATTGGACCCTTCTGCACATTCTGTAAACATTATCAAATCTCTCCATTTAAGATTACTGTTAGGAACTCACACAACTTAATATCAATTTTTTTTAAAAGCCAATAACTATTTAAAAATGGGCAAATAACCTGAATAAACATTTTTCTGAAGAAGACATGCAAATGGCCAACAGGTATATGAAAAAGTACTCAACACCACTAATGATCAGAGCAGTGCAAATTAAAACCACAATGAGCTATCACCTCACACCTGTTAGGATGGCTATTATCAAAAAGATAAAAGATGGGCCAGCCCAGTGGCGCACTCGGTAGAGTGCGGTGCTTGGGAGTGCAGCGGCACTCCCGCCGAGGGTTCGGATCCCATATAGAGACCGGTCCGCTCACTGGATGAGCGCGGTGCGGGCGCGACACTGAGGGTTGCGATCCTGTTACCAGTCACGAAAAAAAAAAAAAGAAAAGAAAAAGATAAAAGATAAGTGTTGACAAGGGTGTGGAGAAAAGAGAATCTTTGTACACTGTTGGTGAGAATGAAAATTGATACAGCCATTATGGAAAACAGTATGGAAGTTCCTCAAAAAATTCAAAATAGAACTACCATATGATCCAGCCATCCCACTTCTGTTTATATCCAAAGGAAATAAAATCAGTGTCTTGAAGGTTCAGAGTGAGGGAACTGGATTTTTTTAAATTGTGAAATGACAAAAGTTTGGAATGGCTGCCCTGAAAAAATGAGAAAGCAAGCTGCTAGAGACACATGAATATTACTGAGCAGTATTGGTTTGAGGATGTAAATATGTAACAATGGATGGTCTGGCCCAGCTACAGTGGGTAGGAAGGTAAAGAGCTGAGGATGCTGTTGTGAGAATAGTGAGATGGGTGAATTATGGAATATAGCCTGCATAAAGAGAGATGGGAAGGAGGAAATGAGCTAATAACTAATAGAGAAGAAAGGAGCCAAAGAATCAGCATTCTTAGTGAGGTTAAAGAGCAGATACAATGAAAAGTGGAACAAGTGGAAGAAAAACACTTGTGAGATAGGTACATGCACTCATAATGCTGAGTAATTATGTTTCAGAGGTGGAACAGTTCCAGGTGATGACAAAGAGTGACATGAAAAGGTTGAATAAAAATGTGATGGTGAGAGTCAAGGAAGCCAAGAGATTGTAGGCCAGGGTGTTAGATGTATCATCACATGGTTGTTGAAATTATCTAGGATAATGGGAGGGATTAGAGCAAAGCAAATCCAGATGCCAAGGTGTTCCATCGTTCTGGGAAAATGGTCTAAACATCAGTAGATGAAAACTATGTGAAGTGTAAAGGAGGTATAGACAAATTACACAATTCAGGAAATTAGAGCAATGTTTACACAAAAATGGAAGAACAATATAGTTCAGCGTTGGTGGTGGGTAAATATAAACTTTCCTTTTCCCAAAATCTGCCTGGAAATACGGGAGTTTGGGAGATCATCAGAGAGTTTCTCAGCATACCAAGGACTGCATAAGCATTAATACCTTCAGTAGCTCCTTTGAGTAATAATTGAGTTAAAGTTTTTCATACATGTTATCCATTATTGCATTGTTAAATCCATAGACATATACTGATATCTTTGATTTAACAAATGATCATAGAACAAAAAAAAATTATGGACTAGAATTACTTTAGTGTTAAAATATCTAGGTTTTTTTCCCTTCTTTTGTCCTTCCCCGTCTTTACTACAAAAGAGAAAAATATGCAGTATTCACCTTTAAATTACAATAATTGTATGTATCCTTTTTCTCTTTAGGGAGACTCTGGTGGACCACTGGTTAGTGCAGATTCTAATGGCATCTGGTTTCTTGCTGGTATTGTAAGCTGGGGAGATGAATGTGCTCTTCCAAACAAGCCTGGTGTCTACACTCGAGTAACATACTATCGAGACTGGATTATGTCCAAAACCGGTCTCTAGTGCAGAAGTCCTCTGTAGATTAAAGCTCAAAGGTTGTATGCTCATTAAATATGTGTGTAGTTCCCAATCCATATTTAACTTAGATATTATCTCTTCTTATGCACATTTAATACGGCAAATTTAAATATATGCAATTTTAGAACTATAAAAACTTTTTGTTTTTTAGACTTTGACAAGGGTTTAGTGAGACTAATGGACCAGGACATACAGTTTTCTCTTTTATCCCTTTCCAGATTGAAGGTAATTATATGAGTAAATATGGATTACAGTTTATTAAGGAATTATTCTCTGCTTATTAGCACATCCAGATACTTGGGAAATCATGGACTAAACTCCCTTCTGAGTGTATAAATAATCACCCACTAGGAAGTACATGTATTCCACAGAATCAACATATTGGTAGATTGTAGTCTAGTGAGTTTCAGCAATACTGCGTATAAAAATTGCCCAGCAAAATCTACCTACCTGTTTCCTTCTGTCCTCGTGCCAATGCTAATCCCTTCTCTACTTACGGTTTTCACACTTTGAGGGACACAAAAAAACATGATAGTCCCATGGGGTGCATTGAATAGATCAAGATGCTTGTTGACTTATCCCCATTCTCTTTCAAGTGTGAAAGTGAGGCCAGAAGATGGTTCTCATATATACACACACTTAATAGTAAAATTATCCTCAGATACATGGGCTATATCTCCAAATAAAATTCCTCAATAATATAAATTACAAACCAGAATAAATAATATGGAAATTTTGCTTTCACTTCATTCTCCCTTTGCCCATACAGAAACATCCTAGCTGAGGGCACAGATGTTCATGAATACACTATCATGCCAAATCAGCAGGTCAGTTGGCACTTACCTAAAATATTATCTCATCCGGTGCTTTCCCAGGAAGTTGTCCACCAGTGTCTCTATAGGGGTTCACCCTTCTCTTTTTCATCACTGACAATCCCACAGCTACCACTAATAGCCTTCATTATGATATAAGTTTTTTTCACAAAACCCCCAAAACTTGCATTAATGAGCTAACATTTATTAAGTCCTTACTATATGCCAGGCACACTTTACATGCATTATTATATCGAACCCTCCTAATACCCTGTGAGGATGATCCCCTTGTTATCTAAATTTTAAAGATAAGCAAACTGAGGTACAGAGAAATCAAGTAACTCACCGAAAATCAGAGAGTTTAAAATTGACTGAACTGGGATTCAAAATCAGACAATTGGATGACAGGAGTCACACTTTTAACAACTCTGCTATGTTATGTGGTATGGTTATAACTAATTCTTTACCTAGTATATACTATTCTAAAATGTAATATGTGTCATAAACTTTATGGATAAATTAATATGGTAGCTTTATTATTTAATTGCCTTTATAATGTTTTGACATATCTTGTGTTTCTACTGTTTGATGTTTTAGAAATGAAGCATAAACAAAGTAAAACTGTATGCATATTGGTCAGGTCTTTGGTTGCAAGTGACAGAAACTCAATTAACACTAGCTTAAGTAAAAAGAAGGAATTTATTGGCTTATCTAACTAAAAAATCTAGAGATTTAGATCATTTAGCATAGCTGAGACTGAATCAAAGAGCTCAGTGTCTCTATCTCTAGTCATATCTTAAGTCTCCTCAGTCTTCATTCATGGACAGACACTTCCCCCTAAGGTGGTAAAGTCATGTTCACTGGTTCTAGGCTTAGATTGTCCTTAATGCTATGCTAACAAGTCCCAGACAAAAATAGAGCCCTCCCACCCATTGGCTCCAGTAAACAAAAGTCCTGAGGATGCTTCTGACTGAACCAGCTTGGATCGGGATACCACTCCTATGATGAAGAAGGTGGTGCCCTTGATTGACAGCCCCTCAGGTCAGGGAGGGGCATTTCCAGGGGGAAAAAAATGCTAGATAGATAAAAACATATATATATATATATATATATATATGTTTTTATCTATCTAGCATTTTTTTCCCCCTGGAAATGCCCCTCCCTGACCTGAGGGGCTGTCAATCAAGGGCACCACCTTCTTCATCATAGGAGTGGTATCCCGATCCAAGCTGGTTCAGTCAGAAGCATCCTCAGGACTTTTGTTTACTGGAGCCAATGGGTGGGAGGGCTCTATTTTTGTCTGGGACTTGTTAGCATAGCATTAAGGACAATCTAAGCCTAGAACCAGTGAACATGACTTTACCACCTTAGGGGGAAGTGTCTGTCCATGAATGAAGACTGAGGAGACTTAAGATATGACTAGAGATAGAGACACTGAGCTCTTTGATTCAGTCTCAGCTATGCTAAATGATCTAAATCTCTAGATTTTTTAGTTAGATAAGCCAATAAATTCCTTCTTTTTACTTAAGCTAGTGTTAATTGAGTTTCTGTCACTTGCAACCAAAGACCTGACCAATATGCATACAGTTTTACTTAATCATACAACCTCACAATAAACAGATTCTATATTCTCATGTGTTTATTAAGTCATAAGTCTCAAATACATATTCTGTTATCTTGGGAAAAAATAATATGGACTAGTGATTTAAGCCTCCAGTATTCCTCTTTACCTAATTTCTATGTGTATGCAAAGAATATGAAGTTCCTATGGGGGAAAAAAAAGTACAAAATATCTTATTCTTAATTTAGAAAATAATTTAACATGACGACAGGTTTGTTAAGTTAGCACATTTTAAGAAGGTGCCTCCACGTAATGCAAGTTTAAGTGACCTGACCTGCATGATGACATACTGTGTAATAACAGATTCTCTTTTCCTCTCTCCAAGTTAAAACAGTAAGTAGCAACAGTAATAATGGTGTGTCCCCACCTGGACATCAGTGTCATAACTCTGATTCTCTTCACATTTGGACATTTCTATTACAAATAGTATCTGGCAGGCGTTCATGATGAGAACACATGCAAAAGAATGTAACTGGACTCATATCTTACACCATACACAAAAACTAACTTAAGTTCGAAAGGGACTAAAAGAAAACACAGGGGGAAAGTTTCCTGACGTTGGCCTTGGCAATGATTTTTTTAATATGACACCAAAAGCACAGGCAGGAAAAGCAAAAATAAACAAGTGGGATTACATCAAACTAAAAAGCTTCTGCACAGTAAACAATCAACAAAATGAAAAGGCAACCTAAGGAATGGGAGAAAATATTTGTAAACCATATATCTGATATGGGTATGATAACTATATATGCAAAATATACAAGGGTATGTGAAAAAACTTGTGGAAAAATAGAATTAAGAGATAATAGAAATCTTTCCATGAGCTTTTTGAAGTACCCTTACATAAGAGACTCATACAACTCAATACCAAAAAACACCAATAACCTGGTTTAAAATGGACAAATGACCTGAATAGACATTTTTCCAAAGAAGACATACAAATGGCCAATAGGTATAGGAAAAGATGCTCTAATTCTCAGAGATTACTAACCATCAGGCAAATACAGACTAAAACCACAGTAAGGTATCACCTCACACCTGTTCAGATGGCTATTATCAGAAAGACAAGAGATAACAAGTGTTGGTAAGGGTCTAGAGAAAAGGGAACCCTTGCACACTGTTGATGGGAATGTAAATTGGTACAGCCATTAAGGAAAACAGAGGTTTCTCAAAAAACTAAAAATAGAACTACCATATGATCTAACAATTCTACCACTGGATAAATATCCAAGGAAATAAAATCAGTACCTCAAAGAGATATCTACACCCTCATGTTCATTGCAGCATTATTTACAATGGCCAAGATATAGAATCAACCTAAGTGTCCATCTACAGATAAATGGATAAAGAAAATGTGCTGCATATATATACATACAATGAAATACTATTCAACCATAAATAAGAAGGAAATTCTGCCATTTGTAACAACAGGGATTAACCTGGAGGACATTATGCTAAGTGAAATAAGTCACACACAGAAAGACATACTGCATGATCTCACTTACATGGAGAGTCAAAAGAATGAGACTCACAGAAACAGACTATTACAGTGACTGCCAGGGGTTAGTGATTGGGGTAAATGGGGAGATGTTAAAGGGTACAAACTTTCAATTATAAGATGAACAAGTTCTGGAGATTAAATGTACAACATGGGAAATAATTGATATGTTAATTAATTTGACTGTAATAATCATTATACAATGTATACATATATCAAATCATCACATTGTATATGTAAAACTAGGGCTAGGGCTCACAGACCCCTCGAGCCCATTGTCCAGACTAGGTCACAAACCCTCCACATGCAGGTCTATGAGTTAGGTAATAGGAAAAGGTCCTGGGAGCCATGGGTGAAGAATTAATAGGCTTTATTCAGAATTAGGAGCAGCCACCCTAGTGGCTTCCCGGAGCCTCCCAAGACGCTTCGCATATCAGAGCCATTAGTCCTTTATACTCAAGTCCATAACTCGAAAACACCTTCAGGGACGCAGAATCCAACCCCAGGATGTGAGGAGCAGCATTGGAATCGCCCCACTGTTTGCAATTTCCATACAGAAGATGGCAGACTGGGTGGAACTGCACATGTGCAATCACATTAGACAATAACAAGCAACACCTGTGAGCACGTGCATATTCACATCAGATGCCCGGCAGGATTCTGAACAGCTGAGGGGCCCTGATCATTTTCTATATTTTCCCAACAGTATACCTTAAATATATACAATATTTATTTGTCAATTAAATATTTAAAAATAAAAAAGAACAAGTGAAAAGTCAATGCAAATATATATAAATATATATGAATATAAATAAATTATTACCAAGTTTATTAAATAGTGAGTTAAATATTATACCGATATCACTGCAAGTTCTGCATGTTGAAGTACACTTTGTCTTATCAATCCGTCCTTACTAGTAAGCTAGTAAAATTTTAAGGTTCACTTCTCAAATGGTTTCTTGTTTCACCTTTTAAAACCTCATGTCTTTGTGACTGCTACCAGCTGAATAATCTGGCATCTCTTTCAGTCTCTATGATTGTTTGTCCTCAGCTG